GAGAGGGAACACAAGCAGGGGGAGTGGGAGAGGGAGAAGCAGGTTTCCTGCTGAGCAGGGAGCCCAATGCGGGGCTTGGTCCCAGGACCCAGGGACCATGACCTGAGCTGAAGGCAGACGCTTAACGACTGAGCCACCCAGGTGCCCCTGTTTTCATATACCCTTCAGAAAACCTATCTATGATAGCTCCCAAAGCAAGAACAGATTTTATATTAAATGTAACTATGTAGAAATTTTACAGTATAGATTCAAGTTACATATTGCCACTTCATTCTGATACCCTTGGCTAGTATAGGAGAGAGAAACAAACAGGTCTTTATTTAAACCCATTTTTGTGGGGCGCCTGGGTGGCTCAGAGGGTTGAACATCTAATTGTTAGTTTCTGCTCGGGTCACGATCTCAGGGTCAGAAGGTAAAGCCTCCACATCAGGCTCCGCACTGGGCATGGCGTCTGCTTGAGATTCCGTCTCTTCCTCTGCCCTTCCCCTTGCTTGTATGCACGCGCTCTCTCTCAAATAAATAAATCTTAAAAACAAAAACCATTTGAAAGGATCTTCATACACCAGTAATTTTTCCCTGTAAGGCGATCCTGACTTTATACGTATATACTGTACTACATCTTATACCCTTAATTATTATAAAAAACACAAACTGGAAAACAAAGACCAACCCTATAAAAAGGAAGTAAAGTAGCAAAACCAACCAGGAAAAAGGGAAAAGTAAAGTACCTTGATCTTGAAGATTTAAAGCAGAGGTGACTATCACGCCTGAAACAAACTATATTCTTCCTTGGAGGAACAAATTCCTTCACTTCTAATCATTTTTTGTATAGTTAAAAAAGTAGTCACAGTCTAAAAGATAAGGACCTGATTCTAAGTAGCTTAAAAGGGGGTTAATATGGGTTTTTGGCAAAGGTTGTGGATAATATAGATTCTTTTTTTAAAAATTTTTAAAAGATTTTATTTATTTGACACAGAGAGAGAGACAGGGAGAGAGGAAACATAAGCAGGGGGAGCAGGAGAGGGAGAAGCAGGCTTCCTGCTGAGCAGAGACCCTGACATGGGGCTCTGGGATCATGACCTGAGCCGAAGGCAGACGCTTAACGACTGAGCCACCCAGGTGCCCCTGGATAATATAAATTCTTAGAAGAACAAAATAAGCAATGTACTGAACAGCTATTATATGTATATCCCATAATAACTGAAAAGCTACATTCTTTTTTCTTTTTTAAGATTTTATTTATTTGACAGAGAGAGACACAGCGAGAGAGGGAACACAAGCAGGGGGAGTGGGAGAGGGAGAAGCAGGCCTCCTGCTGAGCAGGGAGCCCGATGCGGGGCTCCATCCCAGGACGCTGGGATTATGACCTGAGCCAAAGGCAGACGTTTAACGACTAAGCCACCCAGGCGCCCCTACAGAGACATTCTTAAAGGGATTCTAAGAAATGAGTTAGATTTAGCATTGGACCAGTATCCACACATGATAATTTCCCACTTAGGATTTCCCTTTTCTTCTCTATAAATTGAACTCCACTCCAGCTGAACTAGATTGGTAGCCTCCTAACTTATTTCCCTGGATCCTGGACACTCTAGTCTGAACAAAGAGATACAATTTTAAAACTGCCCTCTATGAGTTGATCCTCTGCTACCTCTCTGATCTTAGTTCCTACAACCTCCTCCAGCCCCCTCTGCTCCAGGGACACTGGCCTTCTTGATTTCTGTGAACAGGACAGGAATGCTCCAGCCTTAAGTCCTTTGCACTCGTGGTTCCCTTGTCTTAGACCATTGCTTTTCTCCACACAGCCACCTGGTTTGCTTCCTTACTTCCTGCAAGTCTTTGATCAGATGCCATTCTCCACCTCACCAATAGTCTCTACCCCCTTTACCCAGTTTTATTTTTCTCCATAGCACTTACCACCATTTGATACACTGTATTTTATTTGATTGTGTTCTGTCTGTAAAAGGGAGGCTTGACTTTTATATTGTCCACTATTACTGTACTGCCAGTAGTTAGGACAGTGCCTGGCACTGTTAAATATTTGTTGAATAAATGATATCTTGTCAAGCATATGGAAAGTCATGACAGCCGGTGACTGATAAGAGCTGACAATAATCCAGAAATGCTCCGATACATCAACTTAATTACAGCTATTAGAATTTAGACTATTTTAAAATAGCCTTCTATAACATTTAAGCGTCTAATATTTCAGATCTTAAAAAAATCAGTAGATGCTTAACTAAAATATTCAGATCACTATTTAGGGCAAACCCCAGCTGATTGTTACCCAAATTGTGGCAATTTATAGAAGTTCCAGATTTGGTACAGTATTCAAGAGAACTATAAACTGCCCCTCTACTACTAAATTATTCAACAAAGTAAACTTTAACTCATTCTACTTTTTGTCTTATTTATTCTAAGGTTCCTGCATCAAGACCCAAATGGACCGTGATTTACTGACCAGGTGGTATTAAAAGAAACTAACTCCCAAGAAAATTATGCCACCATTACAACTGCAAAAACAAAAATTGTTTTCTACATATTCACATTCAATTCTCCAGGTTGCCCTCTGGAAACATTTTCTCTCCCTTTAAGGGTGCCCTAGAAGGGAGAAGAGTGGAGAAAAGAAAGAATGAGAAAAGCAAGAAAATGGGAAGAACTTTAAAAGTTTAAAAGACTCAAGTTCCCTAAACCCCAAGCAATCACTTCAAGCATATTAGTTTTTGATTAATCCAAGTCAAAGCATATGAAAACCGTGTTTTCTGTGCCCTGTATGTCCGTTATACAAAAAACCTCATGTGTTTAAAAACAAAAACAAAAACCTAGGCATCCGGGCACCTGGGTGGCTCAGTTGGTTAAGCGACTGCCTTCGGCTCGGGTCATGATCCTGGAGTCCCGGGATCGAGTCCCACATTGGGCTCCCTGCTCAGCAGGGAGTCTGCTTCTCCCTCTGACCCTCTTCCCTCTCGTGCTCTCATTCTCTCTCTAATAAATAAATAAATAAAATCTTTAAAAAAAAAAAAACCAACAAACCTAGGCATGCAGCATGGTAATACTTGGGCAGAGAACCCTGGACTTGCTTTCACCAGTGTTTGGGCACTGCTGGCTATGTCTCCATGCTTATTACACTAAAACTCTGACTCCTTAGGTATCGGATAAGATGAACTAGAAGATCCATCCTTTCAAGCCACTCCCTAGCAGAGATCTGATGTTTCATTGTTTAAAACTAAAGACATGTGATTCTGCTCCCACTCCCAAATGCCCCAAAATTCAAGGACAAGAAAATGTTAGTGAAGAAAATTAAAAATTTTTCTTCCATCGTTGACATCTGCCAATGTTTGTTAGCTCTTAAGCATTAACAGATGATAAGTATCATCCTGAGATATTTGTTACATGTATTAACTCACTTAAACCTCACAAAACTGAGAAGAGGTTTGTATCATTACACTTCTACATTACATACTAAGGTTTACAGAGGTGACAGAATCCGGGCAAGATCATGAAGTAATGGTAGAGTCTAGCTTTGAACTGAAACCCTCTGATTCCAAAGTCTAGCCTCTTAACCACTACACCACACTCCTTTTAAAGAACAATATGGTAGAATAGAATAACAGAATTACTCAGTTTCTTCCTTTTTTGGTGGATGTATGTTTTGGATGGATTTCTGTAATTAAGCATCTTTTCCTGTTTTTTTTTTAATTTTTTATTGTTAGGTTAATCACCATATATTACATCATTTGTTTTGGTGTAGTGTTCCATGATTCATTGTTTGTTCATCTTTTCCTGTTTTTAACTAGCAAAATTATCCTTGGTTTCTATGGTGGCAACACCATGATCCCCTGGAGCGCAAACCATACAAATGAAATAGAAAACCCCTGATCTCAATCTCTAAGAGGTCTCCCGTTAGTTTTCCAGCACTCTTCCCTTCATGAGGGAAATACACTTGCAGCTAGTTCGAAATCTAACGTAACAAGGTGCACCTGTTTATTAGTGACCTCGTGAGTGTGGATAACATTTCTTTCCTTGCAGCATGAAAGAAGGCAAATCAACGGATGACGGGTGGAGCAGAGCTCAGACTGCGATTCATCAGATCTTCCGCTCACTGCTTTGTTTCTTCCCTTCTGAGAACCCTTTTCAGGTGCAGTCGGAGGGTCAAAACAAGACACTGGGACTAGTGGGTACCTGTCACTGTGCCTAAGAGGTGGCCCGCACAGACCCAGGTGTACTTCCCTACTCGGCAGTACTAAGGACCAAATCCTGAAGAGTCCTTAGAGACCAGAGGTCCACCAGGCCGACGACTAAAGGAGTTGGGGCGGGGGAAAGCGGGGGCTTTTTAGAAGTCGCCCGGCCACACTCTCGCTCTGACTGCCTGGTTCCCCGAACGCCGCCGGTGTGTGTGGGGGGGGGCAGGGCTTCCCATCCCTTTCCTCGAGTCCCTGAGACCTCGGCCCCCGCCTGGGCGCGGCCTCGGCGGTCGGGCCGAAAGCACTCACCGTCGTTCTCGTCGCTGTGCCGCCGCCGCGACATGCCGCACGCCGGGGCGCTGCCGAGCAGAGCGAGACCGGGCGGAAAGCGCGGCACGAACTGTCGGGCCGCCGGCCGGTGCGAGGACAGCTACGAGACGCGCGCAGTGGCCGGCGCGCAGGCGCACTCGCTCGCGACGGGTGCGGAAGCGCAGGCAGGAGAGGCGGCCGGGTGGGCTTGGCGGGCCCTGGTGCCCGAGAGCCGGCGTCTGGAAGCTCACCAGGCCGAGGGCGTCCGGTCTGCACGCAACCGCCCCCTCGGGCTTCCTCAGCCTCTCAGCGGCTTTCTTCTCCCGCCTTTCGCTCTAAGTCCTTCCGGGGACACGCGGAAAGCACCGCCTCTTCAGCCAGCCGGAGGCCGCCGGCCACAAGTCAAATCCGGCGGCTGCAGGTCCACCACGCACACCGGAGTCCCCGCCTCAACTTCAGACCCTCCCTGGGGCTCGCAGTATTTCCCGGCGGCCCTTTCGAAGACTTCCGGGGCGAGGTGACGTCTCCAGTGTTCCTTCCTCCGTGAACTCCAGGCCCGGGACCGGTGGAGGTTCTTGGGCCTGGGAGCAGGGACGATTGCTAGGCGGAGAGGGCTCGATGAAGAAAGATCTAAGAAAGGACCAGGACTGGCTGGTGCGTGCTCATCTTACTCCCACTTCCGAGCCTTTGCCTCGTCGGGAGAGCTGGGCGGAGCGATTGGCCCGGCGCGCGGCGGGGGGGGGGGGGGGGGGGGGGGGGG